GTGCAAATGGAGTCAACTCCGCTATCCAACCTGTAGCTGTAGGAGTACCCCAAGGTAGTGTCCTAGGCCCACTCCTCTTTCTCATCTACATCAATGATCTCCCCAATGCATCCCAACTCCTTACACCAGTTCTATTCGCAGATGACACTACATATGTCTACTCCCACTCAGACCCAGCTGTGCTTGAAAACACTGTAAACAATGAACTGCTAAAGATATATGCTTGGATGATGGCCAACAAACTCACACTTAACATAGAAAAAACTTACTTCATGCTGTTTGGCAACAGAGCCTCAAATATTCAACTCAACATACTGTTAAATGGTTCCCCTATATCAAGACACCCAGAGGGCAAATTATTAGGTCTTCTCCTTGGCTGTAATCTTAAATTTCAGTTCCATACCCATCACATAGCCAAGAAAATTTCGAAATCAGTATGAATCCTTTCCAAGATACGCTACTATGTACCACAAATGACTCTGCTTACCTTGTACCACTCTCTAATATATCCTTACCTCACTTATGGCATCTGTGCCTGGGGCTCAACAACAGCCAACCACCTTAGACCCTTAATAATCCAACAAAAAACTTCTGTGTGGGCGATAACCAGCTCCTGTGCTAGACAGCACACCCCACCACTTTTCAAAAGACTCAACTTGCTAAATATACAAGACATACACTCTTATTATTGTGCCTACTACATACACAGAACTTTAAACTCCATTGTAAACCCTCCCCTAAAACTACTCCTTGACAGTTACAACAGAATGCACAGTCACAATACAAGGCATAAGGCCCTTTTCAACATCCCTCAAGTAAAGCTCTCACTTTGCAAGAATGCTAATGCATATAAAAGGCCCAAAGATCTGGAACTCGCTACTGGAACAGGTCAAGGATCCCCAGACAACTTATAAATTTAGGACTCTGCTAAAAAAAAATCATCTTATCTCACAATATTAACCAAATCAACCAAACGTCTACTGGCTAGTTTTATCATGTGACCTCCTGGCTTTTAATTCTGCCATTCCATAAAATATTACCACCTGCACCATTCCATGTAAATTAGATTTTGTACTAAGTATACATAAGATTTATTAAGTCCAAATAAGACTGTAAAACAGCTAACCACTATTCTGTTTAGTTTTAAGTAATAATTACTATGTACTATTATCTTATCTAGTTTTAATTAGTTACTATGTATTAGGATTAGTTTGCCCGAAATGCCTCGGCATGATAGTGGCTATCTTTGTACCTAGCAAATCAAAATTGTAATTACACATTGTAGCCTTTACAAAGAAATAAAATTATTATTATTATCAATACAAACACTTTACATTGTGTACAAGTTGTCTCCAACGTTGGTACAGTAGAATACATAAAGAGAAACACTCCATTCTCATGTAACACACAATTTTTAGAAGGAATGATGCTCTGAGTGAGGGGATACGAAAGGAATAATTTTTTCCAGTTACCCCTAGTAATACTATTGTGTATACATTTTCTTTGGTGTTGAACTAAGAAGACATTATTCTTTCCAACATTGACAAGACAGCTGGAAAAACTTCTCATATTTATGTTAATTTATTCTACTGTTGGGTGTATTTATCATGTTTATAAAGTTACATAGCATGTTTGTTATATATTTTTGAAAAATATATCAATGGATTAATGAAAATGCCTATATTAATGTAATTAATCTGATTATTATTGCACATTTATTATTATTAAAACATTATTAATAAGGTGTCTTCAAGACTAATAAGACACTCTTAGTGATTTTAATGTGTGCCTGCAAGCCAACACAGTGTGTAAGATTATTTAGGTACAGGTACACATAATTATCAGAGTATATATAAAACATGAAATAACTTTAAAATACCTGAAATTTTGGAAAGTTTCCAGACATAATGGAGAAACATGGAGATCACGGAGCTCATGGAGAATGTAAACAAACCAGGTGGGGCGTGGTGACCGTATTAGAAAGTCAGGTGGGGGGGAGCCGTACGGCAAGTTTTGGTCATAATTTGAAATGTCCGTGTTGGCGGAACACCATAAAGCAAAGCCCTACTGTACCTATTTTCATGTGTGTTTATGAGACAAAAAAAAAAAAAGACATCAGCAATCCTACCATCATGTAATACAAATACAGATTTCTATCTTACACTCATTTGGCAGGACAGTAGTACTTTCCTGGGTGGTTGCTGTCTACCAACCTACTAAACGAAATGGCCAACGTGTTAAAAAAAAATTTTCTTTTTTTTTTTCAACAAACCGGCCACATCCCACCAAGGCAGGGTGGCCCAAAAAGAAAATGAAAGCTTTTCTTTTTAAATTTAGTAATTTGCAGGAAAAGGGGTTACCAGCCCCCTGCTCCGGGCATTGTAGTCGCCTCTTACAACACGCATGGCTTATGGAGGAAGAATTCTGTTCTACTTCCCCATGGAGATAAGAGGAAATAAACAAGAACAAGAACTAGAAAGAAAATAGAAGAAAACCCAGAGGGGTGTGTATATATATGCTTGTACACATATGTGTATTGTGACCTAAGTGTAAGAAAAAGTAGCAAGAAGTACCTGAAATCTTGCACGTTTAAAAAAAAAAAAATTATATACAGTGGACCCCCGCATAACGATTTTAATCCGTGCAAGAGGGGTAATTGTTATGCGAAATAATCGGTATGTGAATGAATTTTCCCCATAAGAAATAATGGAAATAAAATTAATCCGTGCAAGACACCCAAAAGTATGAAAAAAAAAATTTTTACCACATGAAATGTTAATTTTAATACACACAAACTGAAAAAGGCATGCACACTTACATGACACTTACTTTTATTGAAGATCTGGTGATGATTGATGGGATGGGAGGAGGGGAGAGAGAGTGTTAGTGTTTAGAAGGGAAATCCCCTTCCATTAAGACTTGAGGTGTCGAGTCCTTTTCTGGGGTTACTTCCCTTCTTCTTTTAATGCCACTAGGACCAGCTTCAGAGTCACTGGACTTCTTTCGCACAACATATCTGTCCGTAGTGGCCTGTACCTCTCGTTCCTTTATGACTTCCCTAAAGTGTTTCACAACATTGTCAGTGTAATAATCACCAGCACGGCTTGTAATAGCTGTGTGAGGGTGATTTTCATCAAAAAACGTTTGCACTTCAAGCCACTTTGCACACATTTCCTTAATCTTTGTAGTAGGCAACTTCTTCAATTTCTCTCTCCCCTCCTCTGAACCAGTTTCCTCAGGTCTGGCCTCTTGCTCTTGAAGTTGATCTATCAGCTCATCAGTGGTTAGTTCTTCATTGTCTCCTCCCCAACCTTCCACATCCCCCCACAACCCCCCAACCCCCAAAGGAAATTCCCAAAGCACAAAGGGTCCTCAACTGGCATAATCCCCTCAGG